CCCCAAAACCCCAAAACCCCAAAACCCCAAAACCCCAAAACCCCTTTTTAAAGAATATTAATTGATTTAGAAATTGGCAGGAATAGAAATCAAATTAGAAGTTTTTGAAATCAGTCTCATGCTTTTTGATCTTCCTCATTTTGCTCGAAGGGATCATTGTGTCATTCACATCCTTACTCCCACTCTTGAGTTTGATATACGATCCTAGATCATCCTTCCCAGTAAATTCAGGGATGTATGGTGGCTTGATTTCTTTATTAACAAGGGCTTCTAAGTCGAGACTCTGGAAGTAAGGATGCTCTAAAACCTCGTCAATATCTCCGTCTGAGCCTAGCCTTTTCTTGCTATCTTTATTGAGTAGTTTCAATACAACATCTACAAAGTCGTCTGAGTACTCAATCTTATATTTCTTACCAGGGAAGATGACATCTTCTTTCTTAATGTTGTTGATTAGGGTAAGTCTGCTCTTGGAGAAGAATGGGGTCACTCCGATTGTCATTTCATAGATAAGGATGCCAAGGGACCACCAATCTACTCCTCTGTCATGACCCTCCTGTTTCACCATCTCAGGTGCAAGATACTCTGGGGTTCCTCAAAAGGACATGGCAAGGTTATCATCATCGATGATTTTGGCAAGACCAAAATCAATGACTTTGATGTATCCGTCGCCATTTATCATGATGTTCTCAAGCTTTAAATCCCGATGTAATATATTTTGCTTGTGCAGGTGGCCGATTGCCATTGCGATTTGAGTAGCATAGAATTTAGCTTCATCTTCTTCAAATCTTCTCTTTTTGAGAAAATGTTTATATAATTCCCCACCTTTCAGGAATTCAATGACGAAATAAAGTCTTGTATCGTTTTGGAATACATATTCCATTCCTGCCAGGAAGGGGTGGTTGCAAGCAAGCAAGATTTCTTTTTCAAGTTTTACATTCTCTATCTGGCCTGCTTCAACTAAAACATCTTTTCTCAAGGATTTTATGGCGTAGAGAGTATCTGTTGTTTTGAGTCGGACAAGAAAGACTTTTCCAAAGGTACCTCGACCAATAACTCCTTTGACTTCAAAATCACTGAGCGTAACTTTTTCCTCCTCCTCTTTGTGTGAAAATACTCAGACTGAATTCCTTGTATCGAAATCGGCATCAGGCTCTTCATCTGTATCTTCCAGAGAAGCATCCTGCTTCCTCGATTCAACAGCTTTCAGCTTAGTATCAAAGGAAGTAGCGGCCACTGTAGATTCGGTTGGAGTTTTGGATTCTTCTTGCTGGTACTCAGGACCATACACTTCCTGGTCCAAGAGCCTTAGCTCACTGGAAGGCAACCTGGAAATTTTATACTTTGCATCTTTTTCTGTGGTTGTGACTTCTTTCAAACTTCCTTTTACTACATAATATCTGAGATGGCCATTCGGACGTTTCTTGACAAATTCTCTCTTGAGGAGCTTAATGAAAACTTCTCTATCATTAATCTGGTACCTGTAGTCATACTCAGAAGGAACATGGAGGACAAGTTCTTTAGAGTTATTTTGTTGAAATAATAATTGCTCCTATTTTCTCGATCGCAATCTTCCTCTTCATGCTCTTTCTCTTAAAAATTGAATATGTTCTTGGTAGTCATAAGCAAGATTCTTTCCTGCTTAATACCCCACATGTTGATTTTAATGGCAGTATCAGAGAACACTACTGGTTCATTAGCAAAATCTATGAACTTCTCGTATGCCTTGTTACCCTGCATACCTAGTTGGTCAAAAGTATAAGTATCGTCTTCTAGTAGATTCATAGTTGGATTATTTATTTAATATATTCTATTAAAAATAGTTTGTTAGGGGTTTTGGGGTTTTGGGGTTTTGGGGTTTTGGGGTTTTGGGG